AACTATCAATAATAATAACAATAATAATAATAAACTATCAATAATAATAAACTATCAATAATAATAATGATAATAATAATAATCATCATAATCATTATAAACTATCAATAATAATCATAATCATAATAAACTATCAATAATAATAACGATAATAATAATAATAATGATAATAATAATAAACTATCAATAATAATAATCATAATCATAATAAACTATAATAATAACAATAATAATAATAATCTATCAATAATAAACTATCAATAATAATAATGATAATAATAATAATCACCATAATCATTATAAAGTATCAATGATAATAATAATAATTATCATAATAAACTATCAATAATAATAATCATAATCATAATAAACTATCAATAACAATAATAATATAATAAACTATCAATAATAATAATGATAACAATAATAATAACAATAATAATAATAACAATAATAATAACAATAATAATATAATAAATTATCAATAATAATATTCATAATCATAATAAACTATCAATAATAATAATAATAATAATAATAATAATAATAATAAACTTTCAATAATAATCATAATCATAATAATGATAAACTATCAATAATAATAATATCAATAAACTACCAATAGTAATAATGATAAACTATCTATAATAAGAATGATGGTAATAATAATAATAATAATAATAATAACATACACTATCAATATTAATAATATAATAATGATAATAATAATAATAATAATAATAATAATAAACTATCAATAATAATAATAATAATAATAATAATAATAATAATAATATAAAATATAAATATAATAATAATAACATACACTATCAATATTAATAATATAATAATGATAACAATAATAATGATAAACTATCAACAATAATAATAATAATAATAATAATAATAATATAATAATAATAAAAATATAATAATAATAATAATAATAATAATAAGGATGATAATTTGATGAAAATATTTGTGTTGTGTCAATAAATATTATGATTCACATTATCTTGGGGTTATGCGTTTGTGGGGGGACACTTCTCTGTCACCATCACACTGGGAGGTTTTTAGTGGTGATAAGGAGTCTGGTAGCAATTCTACAAACACTTTCAAACTGTCTTTAAAGTGTACGAGGTTCTTTTTAAATATTATAAATTATTATAAACAAAACATTTGGAGTCTTTATTGGCTCAGTCCTGCCATCCATTATCTTTACCCGCTTCTTCCATATTGGGTCGTGGGGGTCACTGGTGCCCATGTCCAGCTATCACTCTGCAAGAGGCGGGGGACACCCTGGACAGGTCTCCATTTCATCACAGGGACACATAGAGACAAACGAGACAAACAAACATTCACTCTCTCACTCACACCTAGGGACATATTAGAGTTACCAATCAGTCTAACATGCATGTTTTTAGTCTGTGGGAGGAAACTGGAGTAACCGGAAGAAACCCACATTTGCACGGAGAGAACATGCAAACTCCACCCAGAAAGACACCCGGATCAAGATTTGAGCCCGGGACCTGCTTGCTGAGAGGCAGCAGCTCTACCAGTTGCACCACCGTGCTGCCCTATGGGCTCAGAGCTTGGGTTAATTGTATTGTTTAAATGGGGTTACTCACAAAAAGTCACGTCTGTTTGTTCTCCACGGGGTTTATTTAAACATCAAATCAATAATTCTAAACAAAACAAAGCTCAACTGGAGAGAACAAGAAATAATAATTAGGAGAATTGAGCCGTTTACTAGAAGAACGGACCAGTCCTGAAGCATTAGTTAAACTGCATCATCTCGTGTGACAAACATTTTTCAGCCGGGCTGTGATCAAACCGTCTGTTCAGTCTTAAATGGGTCTGGTTCTGACGTGCACTCATCGTGTGGCTCCCTCCTTGTTGCTGCAGGAGGCAGACGGCGGAGGAGCGCGAGGCGGAGCGGCAGCAGGCCAACCGCATCCTCATGCAGCTGCAGCAGGAGGCCTTCCAGAAGACCATCAACCAGCCGGTGGCCCCGGACCCACTGTGTCTGCAGAACAGCTCCCTGTACGCCCTGCAGAACCTCCAGCCCTGGACCGAGAACACTGCAAAGATCAGCAGCGTGTCTGCCTGCGAGTAGCTGCTGACACGGACTCAGCCTCTGCAGGAGCCTGCAGAGGAGACCTCACGGAGCGCACGTCTTATCATACAGCTGCTGTCACACAGACTCGTGCTGCTGCAGGGCTCTCCCAGTATTCCCATCAAATGGGATCCAAGCAGTGACTTCATATATCAGAAACATATTTTTTTATCAGCCATGTTATTGGGCTTTTTTAACACAACTTCAAAGTAACAAAGCACTTCTTGAATAACTTTGTATAAATTCTAACGAGTACTCGTTCAAAATGAAAAAAAAAAAGTTTACCTGTCTGAATATATTTATCTAACCTTGGTATTTTAGATATACGGTAAATTGTCAAAAATGAATCTAATAGAGCAAAAATGGAAACACTTTTAATACACAAGACTCACGTTTGTGCAGTTTGACACATTTCACATTCAGGCCCTGTTCACACCTGACACTAAACATTTGTCTGGGCTGATTCCAGCTGTCTGCTCTGACTGACAGCTGGCCTGCAGTTAAAATGTTTCTGTGAGCGGATGTCAACGACCTGCTCTGTATGCACACACACACACACACACACACAGCTGTGAGGTCAGTGTTAGAGCAGGTCGGCTGATGTTTCTTTAAAAACTGCATCATTACCACAGTTCAGAGCCATTTGAGTTGTGTTTCTGTAGTTATCTATTAACGTGCTTCATCCAGTTTCTTTATCTGCTTCTGTTCACGGGGAGCTGCTGCAGCAGTCTCTGTGCAGAGGCAGGGTGCAAGACCACCACCCCTGGAGACAAATTAGATAATTCACACTTTAGTACCAATTTAGATGCATCAATTAATCTAACATGCATGTTTCCGGTCAGTGCAGGAAGCCAAAGTACAGTAGTCCCTCGTTTGTCAAGGGATCCATACCCTGAAACCCCACAATGAGAAAAGCCGCGAAGTAGAAAAAGTAGTACAAGTAATAAATTTTTTTTTATATATATATATATATATATATATATATATATATATATATATA